CGCGCACTTAACCGCTAAGCCACAGGGCCGGCCCCCATCATCCATCTAACCAACTCATCTACCTACCCATCCAGCTATTTATCGATCCACCTACCCAGTCCATCATCCATTTATCCAACTCATCATTTATCCACCCATTCACCTACCCATCCATCTATCTACCTACTCACCCATCTAACCCATACTCCATCCATCAATCACCCACTCAGCCATCTATTCATCCACCTCCATCCACCTATTCATTCACCTACCTATCTGACCCAATCATCTATCCATCCATCCATGCACTCACTGTCATCTATCCACCTACTCATTTATCTACTCATCATCCACCCACCCACCCCTTCATCTAGCCCAGCCACCCATCCATCTACTACCACCCACATATCCATCTACCTATTCACCTTTCATCCATCTACTTACCCACTCATAATCTATTTATCTACCCATCCATTCATTCATCTATCCACCTACCCATCTATTTAACCCAATCACCCATCCATAGACCTACTCACCCATCTACCCATCCATGTACCTCCCAACTACCTACCCACCCACCCATACATCCATCCTCTCATCTACTCATCCCTCCACCTTCGCACCAATCATCTATTCATCCATCCACCTGCCCACCTACCTTTTATCCATTTACCTACTCATCCATCTACCTACTCACCTACCCATCACTTACCCTCCCGTCTATCTCCCAGCCCATTGGTCCACTTGTGCATCCACCCACCCAAACGTCCATCCATCCACCAACCTGTAACCATTGACACCCACCCACCCACCTGTCCCCTCCCTTGTGCCAACCTGGCCCACCTCAGGACCGTGGGCGTGCTGGGCTCCCCAGAGGCGATGATGCCCTTCATGCTCGTGTTGTGTAGCACACTGGGTCTCTGCTGGATGGCGTCCTGGGTCCGGGGGGAGATGGGCGAGTGCTGGTGCGAGTGCGAGTGTGAGGCAGGGCGGCTGCTGCCCCCGCTCCCGCCACCACCGCTGCCGCTGCTGCTCTGCTCCGTACCTAGTGACAGGCTGTGGTGTCAGAGGGGGCAGTCCTCACGTGGCCCGTGAGGAACCCCGGGGCTCGGGGCAGGGTCTCCGATGTCCTACCGGGTCTCCAGATGGGCGCATGCTCCACCGTCGTGGTGGACGTGAGGATGGACTTCTCGCGCTCCCGTTCGCGCTCCCGATCTCGGTCTCGGTCCCGCTCCCTCTCGGCAGAGGATGCGGCAGTGGGTTTCGTCAAGTGAGTGGGACCTCCTGGAAACCAAGACGACTGTGACTCAGCCCCAGGGTTCAGGAAGGGCCGGGACTTGTCTTCTGGGGTGAAACAGAGGACGCAAGGCCACCTTCCTCAGACGCCAGGTCCTGACCCAGGCCGAGAGTGGGGCTGTTACCTGGGGAGAGCGGGGAGCTGCTGAGCCGGCTGCTGAAGTGCTGGGGAGTGGTGGGGAGGTAGGCAAGGCGGTCCATGGCGGTGGCGGGTGTGCCTGGTGTCGGGGGCACCAGCACGGGCAGGTGTGGCACTTGGGACAGGTCGATGATGCCTGCAGGAGGAGGCGGGGCCAGGCGGTGTAGCCACAGCAGGAGGAGAGGGGCTAGCTGCCCGCCAGCCAGACCGCCCCATCTGGGGGAGTACTGCACGCCCTCAGGAGCAGCAGCACGGCCAGGCGCTCCCTCCTTGCTCCAAGCACTGGCCCCGGGGGACCCTTTCCTGATTGCCAGGTTCTCAGGGTCCCACCTCCCTTTTGCTCCCGAGCCCTAGAAGTGGTCGTGTCCTGCGTCGGCACCCCTGCATACCTGGGGGCCTCTCTGCCGTGTCAGCCTCTGCCCCCTACAGTCGGTTCCCGCATTCAATCCCCACCATGCGAAATGCCCAGTGTGACCTGTTTTTCCAACTGGACCCTAACGAGTACTTGGTTGTTCCAGAAGGACATTCCAGATAGTGTAAGACCCTGTATACCAAGAGTCCACACAGGCACATGCACGCCCTCTGTGTATGCATCCAGGATGCACAGGCTATCGGATGCACACTCGTGCCCACAGCACACACAAACTCACGCTCCCAGGCCATGCAACTCTAACCCCCAGCCAGGCCAGTGTGCTCTCAGGGCGGTCATACCACCCGACCTCCAGGGTGCCCACACTCTAAACACCTCGGCGAGAACACGTGTGCACGCACGGCGTGTGCACGCATGGCGTGTGCGTGTCCTCTGCGCTCCAGAGCGAGCCCGGGCAGACCAGGAACGTGCCCAATCCCAGACGGAGGTGGTCTGCCCGCCCACTTGCCTGGAAGCACCCCACAGCACCCACCTCGCGGGCCAGCGGCGTAGTTGAGAGCCAGCGAGGACTCGCGGGGGGAGAGGCCGCGCAGCATGTCGGCCCGCTGGGCCATGGCGGTGGCCGCGTTGTGGTGCATCTGCTGCGAGGTGATGTAGTCGTTGATGATGGTCTGGCGGTTCTCCAGGGCCGCCGTGTCGGGGTAGCCGCGGATGAGGTAGGGCGGGTACAGGTGCGGGTAGGTGGGGTTGGGGGCCAGGTGCCGGGGCAGGTAATAGGCAGCGGCTGCCCGGAGAAGGGGAGCGAGGTCAGGCTGGCCCACGCGGGCCAGAGAACGTCACACCACCTGTCTCAGTGCCCCCCGCCCCACACCCTGACCGCTTCTCCCAAACACCCCACAAAACGGAACTTGGGCCTCGAAGTAGGAAACCCTTACTCCCCAGAACACGTGGGGGTGCCTCTTAGTGATAACGTTCTTTGCATTGAAGGTCTCCCAAACACACGGCGTCCAAAGTGTAGATCACTAAAGTACCTGGGGGCAGCCTTTTAAACAGATTTTCACGTCTGTTTGGGGAATGCTCACACTCGAGCCCTCATTCAATATATCTGCAATTTTAAAGGTAGCGATACCTCCCCGCAGGAAAAGAAAACCACCGAGAAACGTTTAACTCAGCACGTCCCTCAGGTTCCTAAGAGAAATCTGTTCTAACCTAGAATGTTCACTTGATTGCACTGTGGGGTCTCCCCACAGTGGGGCCTCAGTTTCCCCATCTAGCAGAGCCTACTTCATGCCCGAGGAGACCCCGGGTAGACACTGATGAAGCCCCACTGTGTGCACCATTTCCCGGTTGCTGTGGGGTTCCACGGGTCCCAGATAATCACCTGCATCCAGGGGGATCCCGCGGGGAATGGAGGTGGGGTCGAAGGCCAGCGGGATGGGGCCGCGGTACAGGTCCACACCACTCACGCCCCGGAGCAGGTGTTCGTAGGGCGAGATGGGGTGGGGGTGGTGCTCGGGCACAGCACTGTGCGGGGACTTGGCAATCTCGCGGGGTGTCGACGTCAGCTTTCGGTCCTGCGACACCTTGCTGGACGACAGGCTGCCTGCGGGGATGGGCCGAGCGGGGACAACGTCGGACCTCCGTGACACAGCTGCCCCAGCCCCAGCGCGGGGGCCGCCTGGCCAGTGTTCCCAGGAAGCCACTGAGGGTGGGATCTCAGGGATGCCGGGTCCAGGCCTCCATTCGCCCCCCATCTGCCTCTAGTTCATCTGTTCTTTCATTCACTCATTCACTCATTCATTCGCTTCTGCTTTTTTAGTTCTTTAAAAAAATTCATCCTTTCTTCCTTTCATTTGTTCCCTGTTTATTCACTCACCCGATGAACCAATCAACCAAAAAATATTTATGGAGTCTCTACTATATGCACTGATCTAAGGGCTGGGTCTACCCCCGTGAACAAAACAGACAACAATCCTGGCCCTGAGAAGCTGACATTTAATGCGGGAGACAGATGACAAACTAGTCATCAATTAAGAATTTCAGAGTAACAAATGCCCTGAAGAAAATCTTAAAATGTGGCAGAATGTGACCAGGACAGGGGTATCTGGTCATGACAAGCCTCCCCGAGGATGTGACATTGAACAGAGACCTGAAGGATGAAAAGAAACCAGGTAGGTAAAGACCTGAAAGGTGGGGGCATTTCAGGCAGAGGGGACAGCATGTGCAAAGGCCCTGAGCAAAGGCCGAGCTGAGTGTGGTCAAGGAACAGAGGCGGCGGCCCGTCCAGCTGAGCCTGGGCGGATAATGGAATCGGCAGCGAGATAGGGAGGTAGGCAGGGCCAGATGCTGCAGGCTCCCCAGGGCCATGGCCACAAAATAGATTTTTTTTTCCACGCGCAGTAGGAAGCCACTAGAAAGATGTAACCAGGAGAGCAGCACAATTTGATGTAAATTTTTCTAAAAAGTATTCTGTCTGCCGTTTGGGGAGCAGATTACAGCAGGCCAGGAGGGGAGTCGGGGAAGCTGGGGGGAAATTGTGGTGGTCCGGGAGGGGCAGGGAGAGGAGGGAATTCTGAGTGCAGTGTGGAAGCACAACCCACGGGTCCGGCAGATGGAATGGATGGGTGGCCTCAAGGATGCCCCTGTTTCCCAACCTGAGCTAAGAGCGGATGGAGAGTAAGGCCGTCTCCCGAGATGGGGTCCACCCTGTGCCCATGCCCCACGCACCCTCCTGCAGGCGTGGGGTGGGCTCCCTCGTGGTCACGGGCGAGCCGCGTGGCAGGTGGCCGGCGAAGGGTGCCCCGTGGTCCTCGTAGGTGAGGGGGCTCTGCCGCGGCTTGCCCAGCTCAGGCACGATGACGGGGGCCCCCCGGGTGATGGAGCCCCCCGAGGCGCCGACGGCCCCGGGCCGGCCCTTCAGGTTCTCCTCGTAGCAGGCGCGTTCCAGCGCCCGGGGGTCGGCCATCACGTCCAGGGGCAGCGCGGGCGGGAAGGTGCGGCCGGGGCTGCCGATGATGGAGCGCACGTCGTGCTTTTTGGAGCCGGCGGAGGCCGCGCCGGCATCGTACTTGAGCGGGGTGCCCTGGGGGGGAGGGGTGTGAGCACCTGCGTTACTCGCTGAGCCTCGGTTTCTCCGCTATAAAGTGGGGCGACATCGCACGCCTCAAGGGGCGGGGCCGCAGGGCTCCGCTAGGCCTACGGCGAGCTCACGGGTCACTGCCCGGCCATGGCCCGGCCTCTGGCCCTGCCCCACAGCCACCTGCAGCTGCAGAAGGGGGCCTAAAGTTCAGAGGTCAGCCCTTCCTGGAGCAAATGGGGGACCCTCTGTGGGCCCCTGGGGTTCGTGGAAAGAGACTCGACACCCCCACGTGGGCAAACACCTTCCTCCGGTCAGTCTGGGACCCTCTGCAGTCCACCCAAAGCCACGCCACGAAATCGGCAGCAAACCCCATCCAGCGCCTGAGGCTTAAGGCTCAGAGGTCGGGGCTGAGGCTTTGCTGCTCTCAGGCCAGAAAGGGCAGCGGAGGAAACAGGGTCACAGCTGAGGCCCTGGGAGAAGACCCGCCCCGCTCAGACACGGAAACACGGGGCACAGTGGGGCCCTGTGTCTCTACAAGGGACAGAACTCCACATTTACCCAGGAATGTTTTAACTACTTTCATGAGAAGAGGAAACGCCCTAATTTTAAAACAGAATATTCTAGAATCATTATGGCCTTGGATCCCCGGTAGACTCTTGCCAACGGCTCCACAAGTGCCCAGAGGCCAAGAGCCAAACCCGTCTCTGGCATTCAATGACCTTCCCAGTGCTTCTGCCTCCTCCCCAGGCGCCATGCACCTCTACCCACATGCGACCCCTCCTGGGACCCCCGCCCGGGATCCCCCCAGTCCTTCCACCTCACAGCCACGCCTCCCGGGGTGGCTCCTGCTCTCCTTCCTCGTTCCCATGAGGCCACCTCAGACCACGTGAGGGGACAGTGGCCCTCAGGAGGTTTCCACCGACCAGCTCCCCACACAGTTGGGGTTGACCTGCCCCTACCAGGCCCAGACCTCTTGTGGGGCTGGGGCCTTGGGGACTGCAACTTGCTGGTGGGAGAAGCGGACGCCAAGATGTCACTGATTTAGGGGCATCTGCATTTGAGACTCACAACTGCCATTTACTTGCTGTGTGACCCTGGGCAAGTCACTTAACCTCTCTGAACCTCAGTTTACTCACCAATAAGACAGGCACAACAAGAGCACTATTTCAGAGCACTGTCATGAGGGCTACACAGGTCATGATGCCCAGTCCTCAGGCAGTACCTGGACCACACTGAGGGTTCAGCCCACGGCAGCCACTTATTAATATGTTTAGCTCTGAGGCCTCAACAAGCTGCTTGGCCTCTCTGGGCCTCAGTTTCTCCACCTGAAGAACGGGGATAATGGGTATGAACCTCAGGACTGTAAGTACAATTAAACGAGGTCATGGATATAAGCCCTTAGCGTGGAACCTGGAACGTACGCGACGAACGCCCAGTAACCAGCGCCTGTGTGATCTTGGGCCTCAGTTTCCCCACTGGTAGAGGCCAGGGCAGTGCCCAACAGCGCCCGGCCCCCGTCCGATCTTGGCCCAGCCCCGCGCCCGCACCTGCGTGATGGAGCCCTCCTTGAGCGGCCGCGGGGCCAGGGGCAGCTCGGGCGTGCGCCGCAGCTCCTCGCGGGGGATCTCGTGGATGGAGCGGCCGGCCTCCTTCACCGTCGCCACCAGGCCCTCGTGGGCTGCCTTCAACTTCAGGGGGCCCAGGGCCTCCAGGGGCCGGGCCTTGTAGGCCTCGGCCAGGTCCCGCGGGGGCGGCGGGGGCGGGGGCGTGCTCTCACGCTTCAGGATCTTGGCATCGCGCCGCAGGTAGTCTTCCTGGGCCTCCACGTAGGACCGCGGGATCCCTGCCGGGGGAACGGGCGCCGACCTCGCATCCGCACCCACCTCAGCCATCCTAACCTGGGGCCTCCGCACCCACGGATTCTGGGGCCAGACACCTGGGTTCAATCCTCACTTGCTGTGTGACCCTGAGTACATGAGTCGCCCTCTCTGAGCCTCAGTGTCTTCATATACAAAAGGGAATACTAACTGAAACTTGTCGCCAAGTCACGGACACTCAGTGAGATAACGCGGGGCTCACAGCACCCAGCTCGCCACTGACCAGCCGAGAGAACCTGGGCGAGTTATCTGACCTCTGAACCCCCCTACCAGTTGTCCCTTCCTCACCAAGACCGTTCCACCAGATAACACAAGCAGTGCTTGGGTTAGCGCCAAGCACACAGTAGGTGCTCAATAAATGATCCCTACAAGGCAGAACGGGGATGGGTGGTACTTTCTTTCAAATAACTAAGAAATGCTCTTGCTCTGTGTTTCAACCGTGCGTGTCCCTGTTGTGCACACGCGTGTTACACGCCGTTCTGTGCACGTGTCCTGAGTTCCCGTGGCGCTCTGGGACGTCTCCCCCACGCCTGGACTGCGAGTGCACTGGGGGCGCCGCGGGGAGAGAGGGCGGGTGGTACCTTGCGTGATGGAGCCTCGGATGTGGTGCTGCTCCTTGAGGTGGTGGGGGCTGTGTCGCTCGGGTGGGATGGCGCGGCCCATGAGCCCTGGCGGAGGGCAAGAGCGTCACTGCGTGGGTCCCTGGGCCAGCCCTGGGCAGTGACGGGGCCAGGGCCCACAGCCACCCTCCTGGCAGTGGGTCCCTTCGGGCCCTGACAACAGTCCCCATGATGATACTGGTGGTGGCACAGGACCCAGCACGCAAGTGTCCCCTCTCTGGGGCCTGTGCTGCTTCCAGACTGAGCCTCAGAAAACCCCAGCCTCAGTTTCCCTCTCTGTGAAATAGGGAAACCACCACACCACCTCCCCCCAGGGGGTGCTGTCCACGGCCGTCACCCAGGGAGCAGGGACGCCCCAGGCAGGTCCTCGGCCCCCTCGCATTTCTGTGTCCACGGGAGCAGGGGGACTGGGCGGGGCACCCACCTTCGATACTGGTGGAGGAGACGGCCCTGCCGACGCGGCCCTCCATCATGTCGTAGGTGCGCTTCGTGGCAGCCGCCTCGTGGGGTGGTCCTGAGCTGCTCCTGCCGTCCTCCTTGGAGCACTGGGACACAGACATGCCACCTGGAAACCAGACCACGCTCCCGGTGAGGGGCTGGCCCCGGGGGCTGCGTGCGCGGGGCCCAGGACCGGCCACCTGGCCGGGACCAGCGACTGGAGCCAACAAGGGCTCGCATGCAGGCCCGGCACAGGAGCCCACTGATCCCGGCCGAGGGAACCTGTGGCCTGCGGTCCAGCCAGGCCTGACCACCAGCCCCCCAGCCAGTCTCTCAGCTGGCCTGGGGGACTGTCCCAGGGGACTGACACGGATGGGAGAGGCCGGCAAGGTTCCCCCACCTGAACCCCAACCCGCCAAGCTGTTGTTGATGAGTAAGCATGTGCCTCTGACCACACAAGGGAACGTGAGTCTGTGCACATACACCTACACGCCGGTGTGACACACTGATACGAGCATGTGCCCTCACACGCGTGTGAGCAAAGATGCACACACAGTGTGAACACGCTGGGTATGCATGACCATTGGTGTGTCAACGTGGGTCTCTGCGAGTGTGTACACATGCGTGAGTGTGTGTGCGCATGTGCGTGTGCCTATGTCCACATGCGTGTATACATACGTATGTGCACTACGACAAGGTGCCTGGGGAGAGTGTGTCTGGGGAGGGAGGGAGGGGACGAGGGGTATCGTGGTGGCAGAGGTGGCCTCGTCAAGCCAGGAGTCCGGAGGGCCAGCGACCGCAGGCTGGGCTCGCTGGCTGCCTGACAGGCCCCAGGGGGCAAAGGCTCCGTCTCGCCCGTCTGGCGGGGGCTCCTCGGGGCTCTCCCTCCCAGGGCGGCTGCGTCCAGGGGCATCAGCCCGGAGCCGTGGGCCTGCCCCCCGGAGATAACAGGGTCCCTCGCTCCCTGTACGTCACGGACCCTCAGAGCACCAGCCTGAACTCAGAGGCTGCCACCAGCAGCCTGCGGACGCGTCGTGTTGCTCTCTACAGATCTGCAAAATTAACTGCTGATGTTTCAGCACTGGAAGACTTCAGACAAAAATGGGGAGATGAGGTGTCTGGCCGGCAGGCTCACATTCACACAGGGCGACGTTCAGCTGCTGGGGGACACAGTGGCAGGTGCCCCCGGAGACGCGACAGTCGCTCTCAGGCTGCCACAGTTCTCCCTACTCCCTACTGCCCCACACCCACCGGCCAGCCGCCCTCATCAGTCATTTGGCCCAGGACGCACATGAGAAATTAAAAGCCCTGATTGAAACCCATTTTGCAGATGATAAACTTAACGCCTGCAGAGGCTCAAGAACTGGTCTGGGGCCCAAGGTGAGACTCCACCCAGTGCTCTCTCTGCCCACAACACCCCGACTGCTGGCCCCTCCATCAGCCCCTCCCAGGGCCCCTGCTGTCCCCCGGGCACTCAGCCGGGACCGAGGCTGGCCCCAAGATGCAGGTGATGGCCTGGCCCTGACTGTCCCCCACTTGGCAGCAGAGAGAGGCCTGTGCCTAAGCCACATGGTCCCCCTCCACTTCCAGGAACGAGGCGGGGGGGAGGGCAGGCGGGCACAGGCCGGGTGGATGCAGAGGAAAAAGCCGCTCGCTCGCCAGAAGAGAAGCAACCCAGGGTGCGGGTGCTGCCGGCCGCCGAGAGGGGCACCCATTAGCAGCTGTTACTGCACACCCCCGGGTGCCCAGGCTACCAGGAAATCACGTCCCAGCTCTTCACTCCCTTAACCCCTTCCATGCAGGGCTCCTCGGTGTGGAGCCCAGAGCCCAGGAAAGGAGAGGGTGGGGAGCACAGAAGCGGGGGCCTGGGGCGCAAGGCGGGTGGAGGGTCATTCTGGTCATCAGCCCTTCGTGGCCACCCACGTGGTCAACTAGACAGCACAGCATCTGCTGGAAGCATGCTGGGCTGGAGGCCTGGGGGTGTGGGCCTGGGCTTCTGCTCTCTGGGCCTCAGTTTCCCCACTGTGCTTCTAGCAAGGCTGGCCACAAGTCTGTTTCCTAAATCATAAAGAACCGGGCAGAAGTGGGAGGCAGCCAAGGCCAAGCCACACCTGCGGCTGCCTCACGTACCTGCAGGGACGGGGGGGTCACCACCTCTCTGATGGTGCCTCCCAGTGTCACCCAGCCCTGCCTCTCTCCCCTCGTCCCAGGCCTCCTCCTCTCGAGAGGCCGGAGGGCAGCCTGGACGTCACGTACATCAGCTTCATCTGGAAAATGGGAATCAAAGCCTCCACCCTGGCTCTCAATCACTCGAGGGTGACAGGAGGGCCACCAGCTCCCCCAGTCTTGTTTTCCAAAGACATCTGGCTGCCCTCTAACCCCGACCACATCTTTCTGGATCCTCCTCTCTTTTTTTTTGTGAGGAAGATCAGCCCTGAGCTAACATCTGTTGCCAATCCTCCTCTTTTTGCTGAGGAAGACCGGCCCTGAGCTAACATCCGTGCCCATCTTCCTCTACTTTATATGGGACGCCGCCACAGCATGGCCTGACAAGCAGTTCGTCGGTGCGCGCCTGGGATTCAAACCTGCGAACCCCGGGCCGCTGCAGCGGAGCGCGTGCACTTAACCGCTGCGCCACCGGGCCGGCCCCCTGGACCCTCCTCCTCTCTTGACTCCAGAAGCACCACAGCTGGGGTTTGGTGACGCGCCACAATGGATGGGCAGGCTTCCAGGACGCAAAATCAACAAGGCGACTTCCTATTTGCATCTCACGTGGGCGCCCCGGGAGCTCTCTGAGGGGGACCTCACCTGCTGTCCTCAGCCCCCGGCACACGGTCAGCTCCCAGTACATACCAAGTGACCGATGACCAACCTCCCTCCAGGCCCCCATCAGTTCTCTCAACTCCAGATTCTCCCCTGGGCATCAAAGATCCCCTCGAAGGGAAGGAGGTCCCGCCCATCCCTGAAGTGGCCCACGACACAACTCACCCTCATAGGACAGCACGTGGCCCTTCTTGCCCTCGTAGATGACATGGCCCTTGGGCAGGCCGTCCTCCCGGCTGCGCTCCAGGCGGCTTGGGCTGTCCTCGCCAAGGATCCTGGTGATGGTGCCCTTGTACAGGACGTCGGCCGGAGTGCCCTGGGGGCGCAGGGTAGGGGGGGTGAGCACCTAGCACACCGAGGCTGCGGACCCCTCACGCTCGCCAGACATGGCGTGGGCATGATCCAGCATGTGTACACATGTGCCCTCCAAATCCGCACAGGCACACGTGTTCAGTGCTGCATCCACCAATGCACATGTGTGCACACATGTGCTGCTTCAAAAGGAGAGGCACAGCCGCCAGAAAAGAACCACAGAGAACAAAACAACACCAGCAACGTTAACAGTAAGGAGCACTATTCAAGCGTCTACTACGTAACTGACACTATGCTGAGCACCTTTTATGTATCGACCCATTCAACCCTGGAGACGACCCCATGGCTGGCACTATTACTATGCCTATTTCAAATGGGGAAACTGAGGCACCGAGGGGTTAGGCGACTTCGCCCAGGATCACGTGGCTAATGGGGGCAGAGCTGGGACTGGAACGCAGGCAGCCTGGACCCGAGCCTGTGTTCCCACCTGTACCACCCGGTTTCACTCCCCAGAGCTGTGACGCTCAGTCAGCCAGTCAGCGGCGGGCACGCGGGATTTCCGCCTGTGCTGGGCCTGTGACTTCGGTGTGTCCTGCACTTTGGTTTCCCAAAACAGGATGGGGATCACACCAGGGCAGGACACCAGAACCCCTGGCTCCAACCCGGGGGTCTCAACCTCGGCACTGACATGAGGGGCCGGACGACCCTCCCTGGCGGGGGGCCGTCCTGGACGGCACAGGACATTTAGTGGCACCCCAGCCTCTACCCACTAGAGGCCAGCAGTGCGCTGTGCTTCCCCGAACCACGCCCCCAAGACATGACAGTCAACAAATGTCCTGAGACGCTGCCCAGGGTCCCCTGGGAGGCAAAATCGCTCAGTCAAGAACTACTGCCTTAGCAGGGTGAGCTCCCCGTGGGGGACGTATTCAAGCAGAGAGGAGACGGCCACTGGGCAGCATCCTGCCTGGGGCGCGTTCCCTGGGCCATGAACAGAGGACAGAAACCCAGCGAGGCTGGCGGCCCCTGAATGTCGGGACAGTATGTCCCAACTCCTGGGAACGGGAGATTCTCTGCCTGCGGCCTCTTCACGGCCCAGAGCCTGCAGCTATTGGGGCTGCCCAGCGATCTTCACCCTGAAGGTTGGCGGGAGCCCCTAGGACAGATGGCCGTGTCCCGTGAGCCTCCGGTGGGATGTGGGGTCTCTGCCTGCCGGCACCCACTGCGTTAATGGATGCCCGTGTGCGCCCGTGTGCGTGCCTGTGTGTGTGTGTGTGTGGTCACCGCATAGATTTCATCACCCCTGGGCCACGAGGCTATGGGAAAGTCTGGTGCTCACACATCTTGGCAGCTGCCACACTCTGCCAGCCACAAAGGGGTGTGAGTGACCAATGGCTCGGGTCACGGCCACCAGGAAACTGGGGCAGACAGGCTCAGGAATGTCAGATGTCAACCTTTAATCCCAAACGACTCCGTGAGAATGAAACTGCAAGGAATTCTTTTACCACCGGGGAAACTGAGTCAGCCCCCACTTCAGTGCATGTGTGGACTCGAGACTCTGTGCCCACGGCCTGGCTTTGCCCCATCCCTGCTCTCAGCACTCAGAGAAGCCGCCCTTGAAAGCTCACGATTTCAGAACCTTCAGGTTTTCGAGAAACATGGAGCCTGACGGGCCTCCTCTGCGGTGTGATCCGAGGCCGCCCGAGTCAGAAACACCTCACTGTGCAGCCTCAATTGTCACCACTACTGTGTTCGTGTGTGTCCCTATGAGTGTGTGTCTGTGTGCGTGCACGTCTGTGCGTGTACATCTGTGCATGCACACGTGTGTGCTCCGGCTCCCCATTCTAGAGCCAGACACAGCTAGGCACAAAACCCTCAGTCCCCTGCTTACTAGCTACATGGCCTTAGTTTTAATCTCTGAGCTTCAGTCTCATCTGTAAAATGGGCCAATAACACAGACGCTGCACCGATGTGAAGTGTCTTGTCTGTGGCGGGTGGAAGGGGAGGAAAAGAAAGCCCGGGCGCTCCGGACCCCAGGAGGTGGTGGGGCCACCCTCTGCGGCCAGAGAGGAGAGGGTTAAACGGGTCCCGGACGCACCGGGAGCCCCGACCTCGGTCAGGCAGAGAACCGAGCCCCATCCCTGACTCGGGGGGCATGCGGACGGCCCCTCTGCAGACCCCTGGATGGGCAGACTCGCTAGCCAATCCCAGCACCCCCCTCTGCGGAGCTGAAGGAGGCTGGCGCGCCTGACTCCAGCCCTTGGCCTGCCAACGCCACAGGGTCAAGGTTTGCACGCAAGGAAACCTCCCTCATCTGGGGCTCAAGTCACAGAAAGGGAGGGTCTGACAGCACGCGAGGAGCAGCGGCCAGGGCAGGCTCAGCTCAGGCGCAGAAGCGCCTGCCCACAGACCCCCTGAAGGCAGCCCGGGCTCGGTGGGGGGCAGGGGCGTGCGAACTCCCTCGCTGCTCCCACGACCTCGCTGACCTGAACGCCTCCTGCTCTCCTCTCCAGGTACCATGGCCCCCCTGCTGGTCCCTGCAATGCCACGGACCCTCCCACCTCTCGGCCTTTGCACATGCTGTTCCCTGGGCCCAAAATGCTGTTCCCTGAGATTCCTACAGGGCTCAGACCCCCGGGAGGTCTCCCCGACTCGCCTGTCTACACGGCCTCGGCAGCCCCAGGCATGCTCAGTCTCCGTATTTTACTCAATTGGAGGCACCAGATGCTCTGAACTCATCTCAGCTTCTAACTGTGTGCGTGCTATGGCCCGCTTCCTTTCGCTACCACGCCAGCTCCCTGGGGCCGCGAGCTGCTCTACTCAGCACTAAGCACTGGCTCCCAGTGGACAAGGTCCCCCACACGCCAGAGGGCCCGCTGCTCCGCCCACCGTCAGGGCCACAGCTGGAGGGGCACCCCGGTCCCTCCCGGCGCCCCCAGGACACCTACGTGGGTGATGGAGCCGCGGTAGGTGATGGGGCTCTCAGAAGGCACCCGCGTGCTGGGGATGCCCTTGGTGATGCTTCCTCCGGGCACCGAGCCCAGGGACGTCCCTGGAAGACACGAGACACGGGGGCTTACGCAGTGTCTGCAGCCCTTCCCCAGCCCCGGTCCCGAGAGCCAGCCGAATTGTGACCAGTGAGTCCCCGTTGGCGTCTCAACGCAGAGGCCCCGCCGCCCCTATATAGCGAGGTGGACAACCGCGGAGGGGGCTGCTGGACCTTCTCAGCAGGTTTTGGATAAAAGGTCCCGTTCCTGCTTTGACCCTCCAAGGAGTGGAGAGGCACCGCTGGGGACGGGGGCAGACTCCGGGCCTCCCGCCCACCCCGGGCCCTCACCTCTCAGCACGGATGTCTCCTGGGCCGCGGGCACCCCCAGGCTCTCCGGTGGCCCAGCCTGGCCCCGTGGGGACAGCTGCTCCTGCTTCACTCCGCTGAAGGGCGCTGGGGATGAGCGAGAGCGTGAGCCGCGCCACTGGGGCAGGGATGCACAGGGCTGCCCGCCCGCCCCCCAGGGCTCAGGCCCAGCCCTGCAAGGGGCTTCAGAGGGCCACTCTCCCTCGACATTTGGGCCGGAGTCCACGGGCCAAGCTGCCCTCCCTCAACCCCCAACACAGACAGAAGCAGCCAGGCTGGGTCATCCATGTGGGGGACCCCAGATCCTCACCTAGCTTCCTGGGGTCCACGGCGAGGGGCAGCCCCATGGTGACGGGGCCCACGGGGGCCTTGGCGTGCTCTGAGTACGGGACGTGGAGCTGCACAGACATTCCCTGTGGGGGCAGAGGTCGTGGGGTCACAGGGGCCCCCCGGTCCCTCCACCACACGCCCAGTCCAGTCAGAGCACCAGACTCCCCTACAAGGGCCTGAGGGGAAAGGAACCTTGAGATCACACGCAGGCCAGCGAGGCCTGGGGCTTGGGCCTCCGCCCTGCTGCCCCGCTGAGTGACTGTGGACAAGTCACTGATTTAAAGAGCCTTGGTCTCCTCACCCGCGAAGCGGCCACTGTCACCTGGCACGGTCTAAAGAGGATGGCCACGCCAGCGCTCTGGGCAAAGTGGACGCCTGGCCCTGCCCTGCACCGCACGGGGGCCGGTCAGGGAGGAGAGGGGCAGACGGCCACGGCCCTGGGCTCACCATGTGCCGGCTGCTGTGTGTCTAGTGCATTCGATCTGCCCTTTCACAGAGGGGAAACCGAAGCACAGAGAGGTAAGTAACTTGCCCAAGGCCACTCAGCCTGGCTGCAGAGCCCACGCTCTTGACTGCCCCACGGGGTGACCTCCCAAGGGCCCGAGTGCCTGGAGCAGGCTCCAGCCAGCGGGGACCCCAGCACTGCTGTGAATGGAGACAACCCCGCCCCCCCCAGACATCAGTGGTCCCAATGCCCCCACTTTGCAGATGGAAAGACAGAACCCCGAGAGAGGAAGGGGCTGCTCCCGGGGCCACCCTCCCGCCTCACCTGGGAGATGGCACCCATCTGCCTCTCGAGGACGCTGGGGTGCTTGGTGGAGGAGATGAGGGGCGGTGGGTTGGAGATGGCGGGAGGCCGGGGCAGCACGGGCCGAGCGCTGTCGTGGAGGCCCAGGGGCAGCGGGTGGCCTGTAAGGACACATGTCCGTCCATCACAGGGCCCCAGGAGTGGTCATGTCCCGCCGGACAGACCCCCGGGGCGCCCCCACCTCTCCCCAGGCCCGCCAGGGCATGCCCGTCCACACGTGCCCTTGCTGCCCCTCCTGTCTCTGTCTCTGTCCCGATGAGCCACCCGTGGCCTTGGTTCAGACACCACAACCCCAGGGCAGGCTCCCTCCGCCCGGGCCCCGGCACACCCTTAACTGGTGTCCCCATCCCCACTTTACTCCCTAATAGTCCATTCCCCTCACGAGAACCAAAGGGATCTTCCTGAAAAGTCTCCCCCTGTGGGAAACCTTCCACGGCCCCCCACTGCCCTTGGGGTCACGGCTTAACCCCCAACATGGCTTTCAGGTTCACTTGACCAGGCGCTCGCGGTCTCCCTAGGCCCACTGGGCACCAGGCTTCCGCCGTGGCAGCCTGATTCAGTTTCTCAAACGTCACCTCTTTCCTGCCTCTGGACCTTTGCACATGCTGTCCCTCTGCCTGGCATGTCTTTCCCTGTTCTTCTGCTGGCTCACGTGGCCCACTCATCCTGCAGGATCAGCTCGGCTTAGGGTGGCCTTTGCTGACACCACAGTCCATTCTCAGCCCCTGGCTAAGCCACTCCTATTGCTGGTGGTGCCCAGCCAGACTGGAGAACCCAGAAAGATTTCAACCCAGCCTGACTATCTGTCAACCAAAGCAGCCCCACCCCACCTCCCCGGGCTTTTCTCTCACCTGCCTGTTCTCTAGCTCTAAGTCACTGGTGGAAGACAGAGCTCCCACCCTAAGCCAGCCCCTCACCAGCTCAAGCACCTCCTATGGCTCCCTACTGCCAGTTGCTTTGATCCCAGTTCTGCAGATTTCTCAAATCTCAACGATCCCACCGAGCAGACCATCCCTCCCACTGGGTCCCATTAGACTCTAAGATCCTTTTGCACGCAGTTCTGAGCCAGTGCAAACAGTCGGTGCCCAATGACTGTGCACTGACTGACTCAGCATGGCAGCTGAGCAGCCCGCAATCAGGCCGAGCTACTCACCGGGTGGGGCGTAGGAGAAGGCCGAGGGGTCGGGGGCGTGCGGGGAGGCCTTGATCACCTCACGAGGGGGCACAGGGAAGGGCAGGCCCGACGTCCAGCACGGGGGCTCGGCGGGCAGCTTCTGGCCCTCAGCCGCAAAGGTCGGGAAGAACACGGGCTTCTCTGCCGAGGGGACGGGGAGGGGCGGTCAGCCATGCTTGGCCAGCCCGCGGGAACCCACAGCCCCACCGCCCCTGCTCAGACAGGCCTCCCCGTGCCCACAGAGCTGGCCTCGGGCAGGGGCGGGGTCTGTGATGGAAGCGCCCCCGGTCTGCGGGCTGGGCACCGCTTGGAGCCCCCTGACGATCTGCTCAGCACAGGTGTGTATCTTGGGGGGTGGGCTGGGGGCTCTCGGCGGCCCCTGGGATCCCAGGGAGCTTCTGAGTCCCGGCGCTGGGAACCCTGCAGACACTCGCCCAGCACCAGGCAAGCAAGGGGCCCCAGACGAGCTTTCAGACCAGGGGGACACGGCGGCACGGGGCCGCCACCCGATTTCGTTCACACACTTGCTCTGGGGCACGGTCACGTCCGCCCGTCTATTTATTGTCCACGGCGCAGCTGAGCAATTGCAGCAGAGACCATCTGCCCAAAAAGCCTGAACTGCTTACTATCTGGCCCCTTCTAGAAGCAGCCTGCTGCCCTCTACACAGTGACGGGGGTGGTCAGAGCCACGTGCCTGTTCTGGACTCTGGCTAAGAGTGCAGACGCTCGGGGTAACCACCACCAGGACGTCGGCCGGTCTGCTGAGCGCGGGCTGCGAGCAGGCCACTGTGCTGAACCCGGCGCCCGCGTAGACTCAACAGCCTCCTCGCCAGCTCGTAAGGAAGAGACTCAGACCACTGTACAGAGGGGGAAACTGAGGCACAGACTGGCCAAGTCAGGATCTGACCCCTTGACCTCCTGGCTGGTGCAGCTCAAACAACACGACAACAGTGGGGCCATCGCTGTCCCCAGGCCTCCGTGGGCGGCTCTCGTCTCAGTGCTCTGTGAGTGTGGACTCACTTATCCTCACGACACCCTGCAAGGGACCAGGATCGTCCCCCCTTCACAGGTGTGACAAGGGGCTCGGAGGGGCAAGTCACCCAGCCAAGGCCACAGCCGGCAAGAAGCGGAGGGAGCCTCAGGCCAGGTGGTCGGGCTGCAGACCGGACCTCGACCTTCGCTATGCACACTGCCCACAGGAGAGGAGCAACGACGGGCCCTGACTCTCAGGCCTGGGGATGGCCCGTGGACACGGCCAGACGCCCAGGGGCTCAGGTCTGCCTTCACGACGTCCTCTCGCTGGCTCTCACTCTGCTGAAATCTGTCCCAAGCTCTGAGCCTCTCCCTTGAGAATTGGCGTCAAGCTTGAGGACCGATCCATCCCAGGGGGAGGTAACTGACTGAGAAGTTGGGCCGGGGACGGGAAGGGCAGGCAGATGTCATCTCTTAGGCCACCTCCAGAGGACAGAGGGAGGTTCTGAAGGCCATGAAGGCGTGGTGGGAGCGTGCTGGCATCGATTAGTGATGCCTGCTGTGGGCACGGCAGGTGGGAGCAGAGACCCGTGTGCTGCTCATCTTCCATTTCTCTCCTTGAAGAGCTGGGGTTCCCCTAGAACTCGTGCCCTGGTGAAGTGGGTAGGGGCCACCACAGGAGGGGGTCACAGATGCGGGGAGTAACTCAGTGTGGGGATTCTCACGCTCAACCAGGCCCTAACGGAGGGGCCCACACAGGACCTGCCTGGGTCGGGAAATTCCACAAACACCCTGGACCTCGCTCGCCCAGCCACCCCATCCTGTGTGCGCCCTGGCTGCTTTGTGCAGGTCAGCTTTGGCTTCGGGGGGCGGGGGTGGAGTGGGGTGGCCTCCCTCCGGTGCTTGGAAGGGAAACTTGGGGCTGGGCCAGGCTGGGCAGGCGGCCGAGAGCCTGGAGAGACAACCTGTTCCTCCAGCTGGGCCCAGGGGAGCCCGAGGGACCAGCTTGGCTGAGCTGCTCCATGCCGGAGCCAGGCGGTGGGGAGGCTCCCGAGAGACCAGAGAGGGGGTGCTGGGTGTCAAGTGCCTGGGGCGCTGAGCAGCAGCCCAGACCTCCTGAGAAACCACGATGTGCTCAATGCCGGGTGCAGCGTCTCCCCTGGGGAGCGATTCCAGGAAACAGCATGGCCCTCCGCCATGCAAACTGGCCGAACGCCAGACCCGGAAACCACTGGCGGTGGCTCTCTTTCTCTAGGACAGGGCCTGAGACCCGCCCCAGCAGCCCCCGCTGGCCCCGTGTGGGGCCCGGCCGCCCAAGTGCAGCCCAGTCCTGCTCAGATCGGGCACCGGCCACAGCTGTCTGGCCCCTCACATCACTCTGCGGCTACCCGCCTGGGCTGGTGCCCCAGCCTGGAATGTCCTTCCAGAGCCAGACCCCCGTCCACACTGTGCTCTCGCCCAGCAAGCCCCGCCCCGCCGTGGGGCAGCCCGGGCCCAGCATGGGTGGCCGGTGGGGACCCGGGGGACGGCAGACATCCCACCCTCATCCCCACCCTCAGCCTCATCAGCAGCTCCCGCTGGCTCTGCCTCTGAAACAAACTCCTGATGCTCCCTGCCTCCCCACCTCCACGTCACCCGTGCAGGAGTCCAGGATGCCACCGTCGCTGCCCAGGAACAGCTCTGCAACTCCTGCTAGCCCTTTCTCCTCAACAGTGGTCAGAGAGAGACATCTTTCCAAAATATAGATCAGGTTACCCACTTATGCCCCCAACAGACACACTTAAAAGTCCTCCAGTGAAGGCTTCTGCTGCACCTGAGACAGAATCCCCACTGTACCGTGGCCCACCAGGCCCTACACGATCTGGTCCCTCATTTCCCTCTCCGACCTCCTATCCTCCGCCATCCCCAGCCACAATGAGCTCCTGACAGCTCCTCAAACACATCAAGCTTGTTCCCACCCCAGGGCCTTTGCACATGCTGCTCCCTCTGCCTGGAAGCCCTTCCCCAGACCTTCCCACGACTGACAGCTGCTGCTCTCCACAGAGACCCCTCCCCGAGCCCTTCATCGCTCACCCCGTTTTGTTTCTTTCCCTGCATGAACTAAAGTCACCTTGCTTCCTCACGTGTGCCCTGGCTTAACATCCTTCTCACTCACAAAAACAGCGGCTCCTCAGAGCGGGGACTTGACCCCGCTCCCCGCTGAATCCTCACTGCCTCACCCAGTGCTTGGCCATGGTCGGTGTTCAACACCGTCCCGGCCCAGCAGCCACACGGTGGCCTGTGTGCCGGCCAGGATGTGCACCTGCCCGTGCTCGTGGTGTCTGAGACTTCCTGTGGCAAGTGAAGGCAGGCAGTGCGGCCGACTGGACGGGGAGTGTCTGGCGGGCCCGTGTCACTTGTGGGAAGCGTGGCGCCGTCCTCCTTCAGGGACAGCCCTGCTCTTTGTCCTGAGGCGGTCATGCAGCCCCGCCCGCAGGGAGGCCCCCGGCCGAGGGCCAGCCGGCTTTCCAGGGACGCTGCACAGGAGGCGGTGGGGGTGGGCGCAGGCGGATGGCCTCAGCCCGCCCCTGGCTGCCCGGGTCAGGAGGGTGGCCTCAGGGCCCCTGCTCTCAGACCCCGAGTGCAGAGGGCAGGAGCCCAGGCTGGCCCAGCGCGGGAGAACCCTGGGGGACCGGCCCCTGAGGCCTGCGACGTGCCCCCTGTGTGGCAGGCTGCCCTTTGGGGACCCAGGCCCAGAACTTCTTGGGTCCAGTGGGGAGTGGGGCAGAGACAGAAGCTCCAGAGAACAAGAAGCCACGCCCCACCAGTCCTGACCTTGAGCTTCACGTGGCAACAATAAAGCACGTGCCATGGCCGCAACACAGCTGCCCGGGGAATCACCCCGCTGGCTCCCCGGCAAACCCAGTGACCTCGGCCTGGACGAAGGTCAGGAGAGAGCTGCAGGGGGCGGCACTTCCTGCCCAGGCCCCAGAGTTGCTGCCAGCTGGGCAGTGAACCTCATCCATGGTTCTAGAAGCTCATGTGTGGATTGAATCACACGAACCGAGGCTGAGCCATAGGCAAGATGTTTTTGTGCGTGTACAACGCTTTTGAAAATTTGGAAAAGTTGCCGATGTTGAGAAACTAGATTTCACGTGAAGAGAGGATTTCCGGCTTCTCCGGAAGAGAACCCCAGGCCTGTAGTGCCACATGTCCACTTAGAAAGAACACGAGTTCTCCCATTTGCCATAGTCCCCACCACTCCCTGCTGCCTCACCCCCACTGTTTTACTCACTGTGGCCTGCCCTGCACACAGGCTTCGAGTTTGCAGCAGCTGCTCTAGACACACAGACGTCCCGTCCCCGCCCGCCGGCTCCCCGCTCTCAGCCGCGGCCCACACTTACCCTCCTTTTCGGCAGGGGGCACGGGGCTCCTGCTTTTGCCTCGAGGGCTGTTGCTGGGCTGCTGAGGGGCGTCGCTCTCGGGCTGCAGGTGCGGCGGCGGCGGCTGGGCGGGGGCGGCTGGCTTAGCGGGAGCCACGTCCTCTCGGGGGGGCTCATGGGCTTTGGTGAGCTGCTGAGGGAAGCGGGGAGAATCGCGCACCTTTACGGGCCATCACGGGTGACAGAAGTCAGAGAAGGCCATCCAGGCCCCCTGCGTGTGACCACCTGGAAACCGAGGCCCAGAGAGGCAGCAACACGCCCAAGGGCACACGGCCTGAGGGTCAGGAGGGTGGGTCTTTGCACAAGCGTGCGGGGTGTGCCCGCCCTCCCAGGGTGCCCGCTGCCTGGCAGTGGACGGGAGGGAACTCCTCCCCTGTACCCCAAGCCTCTCTGGGTCCCAGAGAGACCGGGACTGACACACGGGACTGCGCTGGCCCCGGGAGCGGGTGGCACAGCCTGGCACACCCCGTGCCCCTCACTCAGAGGCCGCGGGCAGTTCTGAGTCTTCTAGCCACAGCCCCAGCTGCGTGTGGGCAGCCCAGGCCCCCTCCCGGGAGAAGGACAGCTCGGTAGCAGCTGTGCCACCACGAGGGGCACCTCCAAGGGGCCCCCTGCTCGGGCCTCCACAATCTTCCGGGGGCCCTCCCCAGAGGGATTCTATTCTTCGGGGGGCCCTTCCCATAGAGATTCGATACAACTGGGGGGTCCCACTCTTCTCTCTGAGGTGCTGACAGCCGAGAGACCCCCTACTCCCACAGCCTCGTGCCTGGTCTGGGGGGATTCTGGAGAACCCTCGAAGGCGGGGGCAGGGGAGCAGAGGAGAGGCTCCAAGGGCACGAGGAGGGGACCGGCAGGCCGCGCCCGCCTCCCCCAGAGCCCCACCGCAGCCTGCCCCCCCCCCCCCCCCCCGGCTGTTCCCGCCTCATCTCCCCGGGGAATCTTCCAGGAAACGGGAGGCGCCGGGAAGAGCCAGCGCGGCTGCAGGTGCAGGCCCTACCCACCCCGAGGGGGGCCCGCAGCGCGCGGCCTCAGCTCCTGTCCCCCAGCAGGAAGGGGGGGCGGGGGCGCGGCCTGGCTCGGCAGGCGTCCTGGGGCCCGGGGACCCGGGCACTCACGATCGGGGGGATGGCGGCCGCCCGCTGCTTCAGCTGTTTCAGGTCCAGCGGCTTCTGGGGGGAGGCGCTGGCTCTGGCGTCGCCGGTCGGCGTGAGGAGGCTGGGCCGCGGCGACAGCAGCCTGAGGGGGAGAGGCGTCAGGCCGCGGGCTCACAGCTGGCCGCGGGGCGGGGAGGTGCACGTCCAGGGGCGCCCGGCCGAGTGGGTGGGAGCGGGGCAGGGGGTCCTCCCTCCAGCCCCAGCACAGCGGTCCCGGTGGGATCAAACAGCCCCCCGAGACCGCCCAAAGCAAGGAAAGTCCCAGAGAACCCAGACCAGGGCCCACACCCCACACGGCCCCTCAGAAGCTGCTGGAAAGCAGAAGAATCCAGCAGATTAAGGCTCAGGGAGCTTAAGAGATTCCGGGAGATTATTCATCACCCCAACATGAGAGGCTCGGGCGCCGGGGGGGGTCGTGGGCACGGAATTGAGTCGACCTCGCTTACTGGAGACGGGAGTCGGGGCGCCCACCTGCTCACCCAGAACGCCCCGCTCCCCGGAATCTCGCCCGCCCCGGGCGTGCGCCGTGCGTGGGGGGCCAGTCAGCGCGCCCCTCGCCGCCCCCGGGGCTGCCGGCCCCTGCCCAGCTCTCAGCTCCCTCCTGCAAGCTGCCCTCGCGAGCACACGGCAGGCCCAGCGCTGCGCATGGGGCGCGCGGGGGAGCCCCAGACGCCGCGTCTGCGCGCAGCCACCGGAGCCGGCCAGATGACCAGGCAGCGCGTGAGGGCCTCGGCCCAGGCAAAACGAAGGCGGGTCCCCAAAGCCAGAGGGTCCTGGCAGCACAGCCCCTACTGTGCGCCGTGACCAGACCAGCTGATGCCACAAGCCACAAGCTGATGCCGAAGCCAAGTAGCCACGGCCACTGCCTTCGAGGTGAGGCCGGAGACAACCAGGACGGGCTCCTGCCGCCCAGTGCCCAGCAGCTGGCACCAGACCCCCAGCGCAGAGCAGGGCCCAGCTCCTTCCTGCAGACGGAGTGGGCGGACGAGGGACGTGTGGCCCAGGTGCCCTCTGCTCCCTGCGGTGGCAGGACCACGGCCCGTGACAGGCCAGTCCCGAGGGCACCAGCCTCCTGCCTGCATCTGCCACACGCTCGGCCGAGCAGCGACACGCGGTGACCCCTGCTGGGGCTGCCCACGGCGGGCGAGGGATCGCACACAGAGGACGGGCGTCCTGACCTCTCCAGGCTCACTGCCACCGTCCTCCCCACCTGCTCCCCCTCCCTCGCCCTCTCCAGATCCCGCTCGCACTCCGAGGACCACCCAAGGCTGCTCCCTTCCCTGCTTCCCCGGACCCAGCCCCGCATCACCCACCACTCTCGGGCCAGGCACCCCGACCAGGTCCAAGCACCAATGTCTTCAGAGTCGCCACATCCCCCTCCTCCGGCTTCAACTGCCCCCACACCCAGCTGCCCCTCCCCTCATGGCGACTTCCCGTTGTCCGTTTAAACCAGCGCGTTTGTAAACTTGAATTTAAAAATGACTATATGGCCTCCACCTTGGAAGGCAGCGTGGCAGCTCCTTAAGAGGCGCATCACAGCACCAGCACACGACCTGGCTATTCCACTGCGGGGGCGTGCCCAGGAGAACTGACGACGCGTCCACACCCAGACTCGTTCACGAAGGATCACAGCAGCTCTGGTCACAACCGCCAAACGGTGGAGACGACCCCAGTGTCCCAAAACGGAAGAACGGAGAAACAAAATGAGGTCCGTTTATACAGTGGAATACGACTGAGCTGTGAAAAAGGAATGAAGCACTGACACCTGCTACACTGTGGATAGACCTCAAAAATATGATGCTGAGTGAGAGAAGCCAGACACAGAAGGCCACATAGTGTATGATTCCACTGATACAAAATGTCCGGAACAGGGAAATCCACAGAGACAGAAGGCAGATGAGCAGTTGTGGGTCTGTGGGGAGTGAGGGGTGACTGCTGATGGGTGTGGGGTTTCTTTTTGGGCTCATGAAAATGTTCTGGAATTAAATAGTGGTGACAACCACACAACTCTGTGAATATACTAACAACCACTGAACTGTACAGTCCATGGCTGAATTGTACGGTCTGTGAAGTACATCTCAACAAAGCTGTTACAAGAAAAAAAAATAAGGAATATACTGTGTGCTAGCCACGAAATCAAGGGTTTGACAGATTAACTGTATTGTGTGTACCAACAATAAAATAATGATGTTAAATTATTATTTGTTGTGTAAAAATATAAAATACTTTGATACAAATTTTAAAGTTAAAAACAAATTCTTGTGTCTGTGTAAATATGATCTTGTAGAGACACAAATATGTTTTCAGAACACACACAAAGCAGTGTCCGTGTCCCTCTGTCACTGAACTAGTCTCAGGCCCCTGACCTGCCTTGTCTCTCGGTGGCTCCGCACCCAGGCAGGGGCAGCAGGCTGGAAGGGAGCAGGGACAGGCACCAGTGGGGCGACGCGCACGGAGGCCCAGACCCCTCTTTCCTGAGACCCCCTCCCAGAGTGAGGCAGGCCCTCAGCGGGGACTGGGGCCACACGCACAGCACTTTACAGTTTACAAGAGGTCTCCGGATGCCAGCCCAACCTCTCACTGAAACAAGAGCCGCATCCAAGAACAAGGGTCTAGGTTTGGACCCTCGACAAGCCTGAGGGTCCTGAGCCCTGGAGGGGAGCGGGAAGATGCTTGGCGCTCACGCGGCCCCCGGGCTCCCCTCGTCCCAGCAACCGCAGTGGACACGTGCCTCCGGGAGCCCTCCTCACAGCCCGCCAGCCCTCCGTTCTCTCTCCTTTGTTTCCTTGGCAGACAGCAGCTTCTACTCTCCTCTCTGGAAGCCCTGCAGGGTGGGGGCTCTCGGAGCCTGGCACGGTGCGTGACCGGGAGGGGCAGGCGGGGACGCCAGCAGCACGGCTGGGAGCAGCCAGGGCCCTGCCTCGCCCTCCCAACCCTGTGGTTCAGGGCTCGGGCTCCCAGTTCAAATCCCACCTTCAGCCGCGCCACTTAACCAACTGTGCCTCAGTTTCCCCATCTGTAAAATGGGTATAGGAACAACTGCGCCCCCCCAAGGGCTGCTCTGTGGGTGTTGATGGGGGTTGGGCCACCTTCCTGTGACTACAGTTCTTCTTCCCTGGAGGGCCAGGGCTAGGGGAGAAGACGGAACAAAAGGGACTGGGGGCACGCTGGCCTGTGACAGTGCCCCCTCTCTGCCGAGCCCCCACCTCGGCGTCCCCATTCTTACGGGGCTGGGATCATCCTTGCCACCAAGCTGGGGTGGGGAGGGCAAGGGAAGGCTGGCTCACGAACAGCGTCCATACAGACCCGGTCACGTCGCTCCCCTGAGCCCCCGGGATAAAACCCTGACTCCTCACCCCGCCCACAGGGCCCCTGCCCACCTCTGTGACCTCCTCTCCCCCTCACTTGCTCCACTCCCTGCCACAGGCCTCTGCCATCTACTGAACATAAGCTCATGCAGCCACAGGGCCTTTGCACTGGCTGTTCTCTTTGCTGCCTGTCCCTTCCACACCTCACACTACCGGCTCTGACCATCCTTCAATGGACAGGCCTTCCTGACTGCTCCGTCCCCTCCCCACGTCGTTCCATCGTCCACACGAGCAGTTGCGTTACTCCTTCACTGTCTCAGTTTCACACTAGCCCCTCTCACTAGAATGTAAGTGCCCTGGAGTCAGGGCCTCGGCTGTCCTCTCCCAGAGTCCCTCACACTGCTGCCAGTCAGTCACTTACAGGAGAAAGAAATAAAGGAGAAACTGCTGTTACTAGTCTTCCAAAACTCCAGGAGCTCAGCAGAAGCCACACCCCGGCCCCCTCCTGGAGTGGCCCCTGGGGTTCCTGAAGCAGTGCCCTCGCCCAAGGGACGGCAGCGCACTTCTCACTGAGCACTCCCGTGGGCCTGGCACCAGGCTGGCAGCCTCCGGCTCGTGACTCCATCATTGCCACAGGGAGCCCTCAGCAGGGACCCCCACACCCGTCTCATAGACGAGAACACGGAGCCGGGGAAGGGACCCTCTGAAGGCTGGCCCTGCCGCAGAGCGCCCGGGCACCGCCTCCGGGAACCGGAACGGGGCGGGCGGGCGAGCTCGAGGCTCTGCAATCCCAGCACCATCTCTGGTCGTCGTCCAACCAAGCTCCCGGCCGCGCGGCCGGGCGGAGAGCAAAGCAGAACGCGCCTGTCTCTCCCAAGTCGTCCGGCCGGGCGCCAGGACGAGACGCACCTCGTGTGGCTCCAGGGACGCCCAGTGCACTGCGCCGGGGCTGCCAGGCGGGAAGGAGGGCGGTGGGCAGGCGGCCAGGCCCCAGGGTCGTCCAGGGGGCCCCCCCGCCTGCCCGCCCTTCCAGAAGGCCCCGGCTGCCAGCGCGAGCTCTGACGCATCTCGCCTGCGTCCTCGGCGCCCGCCTGGCCCTGCAGGGCTGCGGCCGGGGAAGGGAGGGTGGCCGCCCGCCAGCCAGGAAGAGGTCAGCAGGCTGGCCCGGGGCCAGCCTCCCCCCGAGGGCGGGACACCGACCTCGGTCACACAGGGCGTGATAAACCAGGTGTCCTGACTCCCAGCCCCGGGCTCCCGCTCCCCCGCTCCCCAGGGATCGAATGCTGGACGTTCAGGCAGGAGTGGACGGAAGCCAGGCCCGGCTGGCGGAGGGAAGGACACGTCCCCGGCTGGGGCTGTGGGGGGGCGGCAGAGGCTGACAGCAGCCTGCAGGGCTGCGGGCCTGGCCCGAGGGGTCCGGCGGGGCTGACGGGATCCGGGCAACCCTCCCGCTCTCCGGCCTGGGCAGGCCGTGTGTACCCAAAACACAGGCTCCGGGAGGCCGCTTCCCGGCGTGGCTGCCCCATGAGCTCAGCACCCTTCCCGCTGAGAGCAGAAACACGAGTCTCCATGACTCTGTCCCCGCGGCCAGCAGGAGCGGGGCGGGGACCCTCCCGCCCTGACCCCGTTACCCAGGCACAGAGAGCCAGTGCAGCCGCCAGACCCTGGCCCAGGGCCTCCCCGGCAGACCGAGCCGCCGTGAGCACTGTTTGCAGAGCTGCGCCTGTCGGGCAAGAAGCTGAGGGATTCTGCGCCCTCCGAAACCTGCTGGCCGGGCCTTTGCTTACCACAGGGCCCCCACCAAACCATCTGTCCCTCACACATGGGGTGAGGCTCCTGCCAGCAGTGGCCCCGGGGCCCGGACACAGGACACAGAGGACGGGACGATATGGCTTTTGTGGGAGATATGGAGACCCGGAGAGCTCTGAATGGATCTGATTTTCATACGAAATGTTCTAGAACTTGCCATCTTAACGTGCCCCAAGGTGAATCACGGGGCAGAGGAAACGAGTGAACGCATCGGATTTGAGAGTCAGATTTTCCTCCCTCTGGCTCTGCCCAGAACTTTTCCAAGAGACGTGAGCGGAGAGAAAACAGACCGCACTGTTTTCAGTCAAAATAAAAGTGACCTGCCTGCCTCACTAGAGAACAATTCCTCCCGAGCCGCCAGATGCGCGGGGAGCAGGTCCCCACACCTCTGCCCGGCCGCCGCCCTCGGCCCGCCCCGGGCGAGGAGCCCCCTGGGCTGGACGTGGTATAATCCAGGGGTCCCAGGGCTGGGGGGACAGGCGCCCCGTGCCAGGGGCGAGGACAGAGGTGAGAAAGGGAGGAACACATTCAGACAGCAGACCCAAAGGATGGCACAGGGCCCGTCAGGCCACCCACCCCCACGGGGCACACATCTCTGTGAGGAGAACTCGCTCCTGCTACTGCCATTCCCACAGCTCTGGCGGAGAGGGGCCCGGACCACCAGGCCAGGGCGCCCCAAGTTCCGAGCCCGGACCCCGGGGGATGGGAGAGGAGCCACCAACTGTCTCGGGGGTCTGCTGTTTCCCCCACCTCCACCGCCTCTGGCCCCAGGCAGACTCTCAGCACCATCCACCCAGATGACAGCAGCTGCCCTCTGACCTGTCTCCCTGTGCCCCTCCGACCCCCACTAAATCCCCCACACATGCAGCCACAAGGATTCAGGCCTAAGCCAGCCCCAGCTCTCTCGGGCGGAAGCTCTCGGGGTCTTCTCACTCCCCTGAGAACAAAACGCAGCCTCCCACCCAGCCCACAAGGCCCCACGAGCACTGCCCTGCCCACCCGGCCAGCCTCGCCCGCTCCCACCCTGCCCCTCGCTCGCACCACCACCCAGTGCCTGAATCACGCCAGGCTCGCTCCCACCCCCCGGCCTTTGCCCGTGCTGTTCCGCCATGTTGAGGGTAGAATTGTGTCCTCCAACATACGTCCAAGTCGTCACACACGGATACCTGTGACTGTGACCTCACTGGGAAATAGGCTCTTGGCAGATGTGACAGAGTTAAGATGAGGTCGCTGTGGTGGATCCTAGTCCAATGACTGGGGTCCTCAGTGGAAGAGGGAAATGTGGGCACACACGCACAGGGAACACGCCGTGTGACCACGGAGGTGGAGACGGGAGTGATTCCTCTACAAGCCAAGAGCACCCAGGACAGCTGGCCCCCACCGGCCACCACCAGCGGCTGGAGGAGGCAGGAAGGACCCTCCCCTAGAGCCTCCAGAGGGAGCACGAGCCTGCCCACACCCGGATTTTGGACTTGCGGCCTCCCAGTTTGTGGTCCTTTGTGATGGCAGCCCTGGAAAGCCAACCCACACTGCCCGGCCCCTCTCTCCCCAGAGCTCCCCGTGGCTGCCTCCTTCTCGGCCCAGGCTCAGCTCAGCTGCCACCTCCTGGGGGGTCCTCTGGACCCCCACTGCCCTCTCCCAGCTGGCCCTCCTGTGTCCAGACTCTGCTCAGGTTGGGTCCCTAACCAGACCCGGCCTCGCCGCTGCGATCTCGGTCTGCAGTCGGTGCTCAACAACTGTTTGCAGAATGAGAAGACGAAAGCCACCCAGCCGTCCCACTCACCGGTTCTTGTCGCCGCCCTCGGGCTCGTCCACCTCATCGGCGCTGCAGGTGGCGCTGGAGTCGCTGTCCTGGGGGGCGCCCGAGCCCTTGGCCGCAGCCTTGCCCCCGGGGCCGCCGCCCTCCTTCCTCTCCACCTTGAGCGCCCCCTCGGGTGTGGCCACGGCCGCGGCGCCCCCCGCGGCCCTGTCGGGCGCCTCCTCCACGGCCTCCTCCTTGCACTCGCTCTTCACGCTCCCGACTGGCTCTGCGGGGGGCTCCTCGCCGGCCTCCTCCGTCTTGCCCACGTCCCCCGCCAGCTCCAGGGCTGCGGGGGGCTTCTGCTCCTCGCCCTCCTCCGCCAGGGGCGCCGCGGCCGCCTCTTCGTCCTTCTCTTCCTTGGGGACCACGGCCGGGGGCGCAGCGGGTGACGGGGGTGC